AAATAAAATAGATCTCCTGAATTTACTTTTTCTTTGTTAATTTTTTCCTTGATTATTGAAGAAGCCACCTGCTCTGCACTGTGCATACCTTGTTCAAATGCCAATGATGTAAGGTTTTTTACAGCAGTTGATTTGCAGCATTTGTGCTCTAAGTCACGACCTAAATAAATATTGTTTACGAAAATTAGACTATACCAATATCATGTAATATTTTAAAATTTTCTGTTTATATTACCCATTATTGACTGACATTTAGAGCAGATCTTTAATGTGCTTTCTAGAGAGGTAAAAGAGTTCTCATCAATCTCAATTGTAACAATGTCAGACTTGCGCTTCTTAGAAATCCAATCAATCTATATAATAATTTTTCAGAATTAATATTTGAGCTTTTTATGACAGAGTTGACATCTTTATAATTTAGCAGATACTTTAAAATTCTATTTTAACAGATGTAATTAACTTAAACCTAACCTTTTCTATCTTATGTGTCCATCTGGTTGGTGGTTTCTTTCTTTTTGCAAGCATGTACAAATTAGTTTTGCAATTTCCACGTATAGAAGAAGGATAGGCTGCAATTTCTTTCATGTATCCAGAGTATACATACGTCTGCACCAGTTTTTCAATAGTATCTTGGACTGCAATAAGACTCTGTTTAGTTTTTGTTTCCCAGCAAACACAACAATAACTATTTATATTCATTTTTTATTTACTAAAATTATAACATTGCCATGAGTATTATAATTTTTTATGATTTAGAAAATTTATTAAATTATTCTTTAAATTATTGGCGCATTTCGCGCCAATAAACAAAAATAAACAAAAAATTTAAATAAATTTCTATATTTTATGCTAGATTTATATTTTTTATAAAAAAATTTGGCAAGTAGAGGGTCAAGGCCCCTCTGTCCTCATATTGTTAATATTTTCAATAGGATTTTGGACCCCCACCCCCAGTCTAAAAATGCACCCTTGGATTTTTAAAATTTTTAATTTTTAATATTCTAATAAATATCTCATTGATGGCATATTTTTTTTTCAAGTTGGATAAAGTTCAACCTGAGGGTCAATTTATGACACAGTGGCGAGCCGCGTATTTCTGATGCTGATAAAGAGATTTAAGTTAAGTTTTATGTGTACTTTCCGATATAATATTTGCATAATTGATATGACAGTGAATAAAAGAGTAAAATAATTTTGTTAATCACTTTTTGTTTAAAGTACCTCTAGATTTGTATAGAATTCCAATTTTTTTTGTAACTATTAGAAATATTATTGATGTGTGATTTCCAAGACCAATTTTCTTCAATAAAAACTAAAAATTTTGTCACTTTTTTTTATTTTAGGATGACATTGTCTATAAAGAGATCAGGCATATTTACAGGACGTATCTGTTTTTTTATAGTTTGGATGGAAAAGTATCCATTTTGTTTTTTCAATATTTAAATAATAACCATTTTTTTTGAACCAAAGTAAAAACTTTTTAAGTTCTCTGCTCATATCATTAAAAAGTATGTTTAAATTTTCATGTGACTGAAACAAGTTTGTGTCGTCTGCAAAAATTATTGTCTTTAAATTGAATACTTTATTAAGAGCATTTATATATATAATGAAAAGAAGTGATCCAAGTATGGATCTTTGTGGGACATTATATTTCATGTTCATTGTTGTTTGTGGTTGGGAATCTTTATTAAAAACAAATTGCTTTTGGTTGGAGAGATAAATTTTGAACCAACATAGAGCTTCATAAAATTTTGTACGAAAAAAAAAATTTCCTGATTCTCAATATCCTTCCAAAAGAATTTTATTTTTCCGGATTTGTACGAAATCTTCCAGTTAACAACTCTAGTATTAGTAAGTATTAGTTTTTATATTATTTGTTTTGCAAGCTTATTGAAAAACAATAATTGCTCATTGCTTATTTTTAGTTCAATAAAGTTTAAACAAGCAATTTTACATGGTATAGTTATATGGTTAATATTTCTTCATACCCAGTGGGAACGGACGTAAAAAAGGCGTCTTTTAAACGTCTTATACACGTTTTAGACATCTTTTGAACGTCTTTTAAACGTTTTGGACGTCTTAGCATAATATTTAATCATTAAAATTTAATGATTATGAATAATTATATTTAATATAATGCTAAGAAAAAACATTTTAATGGAGTTATTTTAAACCTTTGTCTGAGTTTGAAGGTTTTACAAAATAACTTTCAAGGAAACATAATGAATTTTATTGCTACAAAATAAGTTTGCTTGTTGAAACTAAATGAAGCTAATTTGATGAAAAGATAAATAAATTTTATTTCAAAATTCTGGTGTTTAAATATACTCAGAAATATTTACTACTAAAGACTTTAGTAAATTGCCACGATAGTCATCAATTAGTTCAAAACCACAAACGAATAAGTTACTATTATTCAAGGGTTTAATATAAAATGATAAAGACCCACACACAAAAAAGCACATCTTTTAGTCTAATTTTTATAGTCAATTTAAAAATCGCGCATTTTTTTAAAAAAACAGTCAAATGGTAAAGTTGTTATATGTTACTTCATTACTTCTGTTAAACAACAGAAAGTAGATGTTTTCAGAGTTAGCTTGTCTTTTGAGCTTGTGTATAACATATTTCTAGCTTTAACTTCTCTTAACTACAATGTAAAATATTCACAAAATACTAGAATAAAATTTTTTTAAGATTAACTTGTTTTATTGTATATTATTTTTATAGAGTATTTTAAAGAAACAAAGATTTTTTATGTGTAAAGGTTGCATGCAAAGATGATTTTGGGGGAAGGGTGTTTGAGGAAAGGTGGTGTTTCATATAGGTGGTGTTTATTTTTATTATATAAAATATTTAAAAAAATCACAATGTTTTCTTTTAAAGTCCCAAATGCAAATATGTTTTTGAAAAAAAATATATTTCTTAAACTTAATCAGCTACAATAATCCTCTTTGACCAAAACATGTTTATATTGGCTGTAGACCACCAAACTTATTATCTCTATTAACCCTAACCCTGACCAACACACGTTTATGTTGGCTGTAGACCACCAAACTTATTATCTCCGAACTAATCGTCTTTAATTCCTACCATAATTTAGATTTTTAAATTACCTTTAACTGCCAATGATCGCTAAAAGTTTTTTTGCCCGATATGGATAATGGCTTGTAACACTTTACGTAATATTTAATTGGCTTCACTAACGGCAAAATTCGTTATCTAGGTAATATATGTATGTTAATTGCTTTATTTAGTTTTCACCTAGAGCTGGCAAAATCCAACTTTTTAAAAGCTGGGGGTTAGCAAAATCATACACTTTAAAAATACGTATTTCAATCAACAAATCGACTCAAAACTACACAATGCTTATCTAATTAAGAAATAGGAAAATACTTGAAAGCACCAAAAATTAAGCGATTTTGAAGTATTATTTTTCATGATTTAAAAGCGACATATTAAATAGAAGCGGCAGCAGCAAGAGTCATTGCTTGTTAACTCTCTCAAAAAAGCTTTTAGAAACAGAGATTTTTTCTTTCTTAAACTTGTGGCTATAAAAAGAAGAGAAATGCTAAAATATTAGGTTTCCAATTAGACTTATATTCATCGATAAATTTTAAATTTCATAGTATTATCTCTCAGCGTTCAAAAATTATGACCATATAAAGTTTTAGCCCCCCGCAATTCGAGGGGGTTGCAAATTTTATATGGTCATAATATTTTGAACGCTGAGAGATATTACTATGAAACTTAATATTTATCGATGAAAATAAGTCTAGTTAAAAATAGTACAAAAACTATTTCATCAACTTGTTGTTCTCACGTTTGGGGCAGTGTCGGCCAAATTTTTGGGCTTTTTTTGTTCCCAAGCTCCAATCATCGTAATTTTTTGCAATACATCCTTATTTGCCATAAGTATAAACATAAAAATGTTTGGAGTTTGCTCCATGTCTGGAAGTTAGCTATCTCAAAGGCCAAAAAATGTTGGCGCCGCCACTGGTTAAACGTTAACAAAAAATACAATTTTAGTAACAAAAAATAGTTTTCAAACTATGGAAATTAATTATTGATTCAATTAACTTAATTTATCTTGAAGACTTACTGCAGTATAAAAACAAATGCTAAACTTATTAAATTCATTATTAATTTCGTTAATTTCTTATGCAAAATAAACAAACTATCTTCCTCCCTCTTTCCCTCAAAAAAAAAAAAAAAAAAAAAAAAAAAAGCAAACACAAATGATTAAATAAATTAATAAAATTAATAAAGTTTTATTTTCGCATGAGTTGGGAGCTTAATATTTTAGCATTTCATGTATCGTTTTCTATTTTAAGTTGCAATTGAATATGTTTTTTTTTAGAATAATCATTTATTAATGTCGTTTGTTTGAAAAAATTGTTTGAAAATAGCTTAATATTTAAATTAAAGTGTTTGAATGAGTTAAACATTAACAACCAAAAACTTCTACGAGTAACATATATGTAGGAAAAAAATTTTAAATGCATATATTTAAAATAAATTTAAGTATTTTTATTGATGAATTAAATTTAGCTAAGGTTTGCAATGCGCATTCATCAATTAAAAAAAGAAATCTTGATAACGAAAATCAAAACAAACCAATTAGCGAAACGGTGACAAATTTATCTCTGGATAAATTTATTTGTAATTGATATCTATTTTGCAGCTAGAAATTTAGCTATTTTTTATGGTTTTATGATTTTATGATGAAAAAGCTAGTTGTTTCAAAAAAATTAAATGATATAAAATAATACATAAAAATTCAAGTAATTTGTTCTGTTTTAAGAACACCGTTTTTAGTATTATACTGAAATTTTAGTTTTTTAATGAGTAAGCTTACTTATAAGAAGTACAATTTCTTATAAGAATTTTTTATAAGAAGTATAAATTTGTTCTGTTCAACTCGTATTAAATTTTTTAATTTTAATTTGGTTGTTTATCATGCTTCTGAAAAGTGTAACAATTTAAGTACTATCATTTTAACTTTAAACTTTGTTTTTTAGCTTTTATAACTATTGTACAATTACTTTTAAAGAGGTTAAAAAAAAGAAGATGGTAATTTTTTATATTCAGAGTAAAGACAAAGAGGTAAATTTTGTAAACATGAAAAATGTTTTATTTTTATACAAAAAGTTTATTTCTACATATAAAGTTTTAAATAATTAAATTTAAAAATTAAAATTTGTTTAAAGCTGTACCTACTTTTAATATCATTTTAAAGGTTGTAATATCTTCAAATATAGTTTATGTTAAATTAAATATATAACGTTTCACTATTTAAGGTAACACATCAGTAATCATGGAATTGCCAAAAATACGCAGGCGTTATCTTAATACTCATCAATTCTTCATAGTGATGATTTTGTTAATCATCATATGGGGAATGTATTTGCTTTATGAAACAAATTCTTATAATTCAAAACTATCAAATAGCGAGTACCTTAAAGATGAAATTATCAAATTATCAAAAGAGTATATCAATGTTCTGGCAAAAGAAAAAGGACATGTATCTGTTGGTTAGTAAATTAGTAAACAATTTATTTCATAGAAACCTGTTAATTTTTATATTTAATGATTTTATATATTTATATATATTTTAATGCAGTTTTAGTCAGATTGAACTTTTTTATGAGTTGCATTGTCTTTTTCAATTTTTTTAAGTTTTTCCTTCTTAAATGAAAATAGGTGTCATTAAAACTAATTAAATTTAAAAATTATTTATTACTATAATTTTCTAATTATTTTTAAAACTCAAGTTGATAACAATGAATAGTTTTTTATATTCACTAGTGAAATTTAGAACATTTAGATGAAAGTTTGATTACTTTTAAAAATTTTATTACACGATGTTAAGTAATAATAAACAAACTAATCTTTGAGAACGAATTGTTAGGTGTATATCCTGACAAAAAAATCAGTTTTATAGGGAATTAGGGCAAAAATTTTCCCCTTTCTTAACTTTTACTAATATTTTAAGAGAATATTGTAGTATTATAATATTTTTTTAAAATTTTTTGGTTTTTACATAATAAAATATAAAGTCAAACCCACAAAGCGCTTTACATCTTAACAAATATTAACGATATATGGATAAATTTATAGAATATTAAAATAACAAATTTGTATAATCTAATACATCAAACTTAATAAATAAGACAGAAGAATATATTAGAAAAAAAAAATTCATTCAAACTTATGAATCAAGCTTTCACAAGTTTTGAGATTTTTTCACTATTCATTTATATTAATTGATAAAACTCAAATCCTTGAGTTTTCTATTTCTTATTTTCATAGAAGCTTTAAAACATGTTGTAATGAACAGATTTCAAACATTGATCATCAAACACTCCTAATAACATCATAATTTTGTTTAAGAAAACAACAAGGTAGTGTTTAATAATATCACCTTTCTATCTTATTGAAAGATTGTGGTTAAAATAAGTTTTTACATAACTTTCTGTTATATAAGTTAAAGTAAAAACTAAAATCTAAATAGACAGTACGTCTATTTCACAATTTCATTAAAAGTTCATAAAAAAGTTCATTAAATAAGTTCATTAAAAAAATCCTTCATACATAATTCAACTTAATATTTAATAATTCTATTCCTAAAAATTCTTCTAATAATTTTGAAACTTTATCCACATCTAGTAATTTAACAGTGCAAATATGATCATATTATTTTTATTTATTTAAAAACTTGATTTAATGAATTGTTATATATTTTTGATTATGAAATTCATTTAATAAATTTTCTTGTTTAAAAAAGTAAATAGAAGTTATACAAATAATTAAAAAGAAAATTATAAAATATCAAGTAAAAAGTAAAATTAAAATATAAAATAAAAAGAAATTATACAAATATAGTATAATAGTAGGCCTCAATTTTAAAAGGAAAAGGACAAATTTTCCCTAACTCCCTAAACAGTTGATTCTCTTATCAGGATGTACACCAAACAGTTTTTTTTCTTTACACAGATTTTGTTTGTTTATTATTTCTTAAGATCATTCACTTAAAATATTTGAAATAATCAAATTTTTAATCTTAACATTAATGTTTAGGTTAAAAACTTAGGTTAAAAACTAACGTCAAAAAGTACTATTTGGCGATAGTGTTTCATGTTAAATTTATTTTTATCATAGTAGTTAAAATGTTAAAAAATTTAATGTCATTAGTAAATATTAAATGTCATTAGTAATTAAAATGTTTTTAATTAAATGTCATTAGTAATTATTTTTAATTAAATTATTGTAGAATTTTGTAATTGTTGTAAAAAATAGTAATTATTTTATATTTAATGTCATTAGTAATTAAAATAATTAAATGTCATTAGTAAATATTTATTTTTAAATAGGGTCATCTAATACACAACAGACTGCCATATTATTACAGAATATGCTTGATCGAATAGAAACTCTTGAAGGTGATTTAAAAAGAGTTATTATAAACAGCACTTTGACTTTTCGTTCAATGTTTGAAACACTTTCCAAACTCAATAAATCAATTTTTGAGTTTAACAAAACAAGTAAGCAATTTATTTTTCTAAAAATAAAGATAGTGATTTCAATGCTTAAACAGCCTATGGTGTAAACAAATATATTAAAACAAAACATCAGCACATATAATTTAGTTTGATTACTACATTAAAAAATATATAAATAGTACATTAAAAAAGTACTTTTGCTTTTTATAAAAAACATAAAATATAAAATTATCATTATATAATAATAGTTTTATATAAGCATATATATATATATATATATATATATATATATATATATATATATATATATATATATATATATATATATATATATATATATATATATATATATATATGTATGTATATATATATATAAATATATATATATATATATATATATATATATATATATATTTATGTATATATATATATATATAAATGTATATATACTACCTTCGAGATTAGGGCCGGCATTCGGCAATGCTGATCTAAAAGTGTTTGATGCGGGCAAAAAAAAATGCTGACTTTGTTTTGATGTTTTATGGTAATCTCTTTGTGTCAATTTTTTTTTTGCCAATTTAATGCTGACCTCTAACAGTTTGAGGTCGGCAATTTATTGTTGACCTCATTTTTTCCTAATTTTGAGGGTTGAATATATATATATTTATATATATATATATATATATATATATATATATATATATATATATATATATATATATATATATATATATATATATATATATATATATATATATATATATATATATATATATATATATATATATATATATATATATATATATATATATATATATGTTTATAAATGTATATATAATTTTTTTTTAACACAATAATGTCTTTACAAGAAAAAGAAGGTTACCAGAATACTTATGATTTTAGGCAAATAAAACAAAAATTGAAATTCAGAAATGGTTATTATTATTTTTATTATTATTATTATTATTATTTTTATTATTATTATTGTTATTGCTAATATTATTATTATTATTATTATCATCTTTATTGTCATCACTCTTTGAAAATTTTTTGATTTGTTTTGGCTTTTTAACTGAAACAGGAGTTTTGTTGCTTATGTAACCAAGTTTTCTTTAGGAATGCCTGAATTACTTCTCTGCAATGGTTTTGGTAGCCAGGTTTCTATGGCTTTTGTTAAATCATAAGATTCCATTTTCTTACCATCAATCTTTATATGCATTTGTATTGTCAGTAGCTTACAAATAATTGTATTGTCAGTAACTTACAAATAAACTGGTACAAATAATTTTACACAAGCAATAGTCCATTATTTAAGGATATTCACTCTGATTAGATATTTCCAACATCTACTTGTTTATATTTAAGTTGTTGACAAAACATTTTGTTGTCAATAAGTACTTTGATCTTATTGTCTAATACATTTTTGTCTTTCTTTTTATTGCTTTTAGTCATGAAAAAGTCACTAATTAAGGAGTGTTACCAAATTGACCATCTCTACTTACACATCCGCTACATACATATCCGCTACAAAGACCTTTGCTACATATGAGCATCATTTTAAAATACAACTTCTTCATAAATGTTGCTTTGCAAACTCAAAATTCTTTTTTTATTACTTTGTTTGAGTTTACATTTCCATATAGTGCTTTGTCCAGAAATTACTGGAATGTAGATTTTTTTTTAAATCTTTATAAATTGACTACTGCGTGGTCGATTGAAGACTGAACTTCACGTGTTAATATGTTTTCTTCTTGTGTTATTAGTAAATAAACGTAGTATGTAAACAATATTATTTTTGAAATGCTGTGAATATTTATCAATATAACTTTTTAATTTATTAAAAAACAGTTTATTATTTATTTAATTAACGTTTTACTTTAGAAATGTAAATGTATGTTTGTGTATTTTTATTAAATTCTGTATAGTATATAATATACACTATATCTAATTATTTAATTCTCAAATTAATATATATATTTTTTTAAAGTATGACTATTAAAAATAATAACTATTAAAGATGTATGACTATGAATAAATAATGCTGAAAAAACTCAATATGAGATACTTTGTAAACTTGTTTTGTCTAAGCAAGATTATGAAATTCAAATTAATTTGTTCTTTTTAAGTAAACTTTAACTGTAAAGGTCATTAAAAGTTAACGACTTTTAAATAAATATAGTTCAAAGTGAGAGGGTGACAACAATTTTATAAGATTACAGTTAATTTGTTCTTTTAAATTAAATTTTAAATTCAACATTTTACTTTTAAAATTTGAAATACCATATGTTGTGTAAATAATCTTTAAAAAAAGTTTACAATATTATTTTTTAAAAAAAGTTTACAATATTATTAAAATAATATTGTAAACTTTTTTTAAAGATTATTTACACAACATATGGTATTTTAAATTTTATTTATTTAAAATAATATTGTAAACTTTTTTTAAAGATTATTTACACAACATATGGTATTTTAAATTTTATTTATATTATTTATTTATATAGTGCGATGATTAAACTTAACAGCCTTGTCAAAAATTGTACTTACTCTAAAAAAAAAATCGTGCTTACTCTACACAGATCAAGAATATAGATAAATTTCAAGAATAAACCTTGACATAAAATGCTGATCCTGCAATTTCTTTATGAAAAACATAGCCCTTGATTCAATAATAAACTTTATTAAAAACAATTAATCTAAACTGAAAAAAATATTTGTCTATTTTTATGCAAATTTTAAAAACCGTTAAAAATAAAATATGGTTCTTGATGGTAAAATAAATTATTTTAAGCTAATTTATGCTGCCTAGTCTTTCAAAATTTGAAGGATTGGAATTACCGCAATTAATTTCATTATGTTGTAAATCCAACTATGTTGCAAATGATTAATAGTAAAGATTTTGATTTACTTATTGCGCAACTGCAGTATTCTTAATAATATGCAGTTTTACAAACATTTATTCTTTTCAAGCCCATATTGCATAAAAATATAAAAGCATATTGCATTATTATATTAGTTAAAAAGTCATCAAAAATATGTTAATGAAAAAAGTCATCTTCTTTAGAACACAAAACAAAAAACTTTTGCTGCAAAATTTTATAGAACTATGGAATTAATAGAAAACAAAAAAAACAAAAAAAAGAGTAGCCGGTAGTCCTTTAAAGATTTGGCTGCCATTTGCCATCAGGCGGCCACAATTGTACACCACTGATATATATTTTAATTACACCCCTAATATATATATATATATATATATATATATATATATATATATATATATATATATATATATATATATATATATATATATATATATATATATATATATATATATATATATATATATATATATATATATATATATATATATATATTAGGGTGGTCCATAAAACAACTTTTTTGAGAAAAACCTGCTGACACCCCCTAAATGTGTTTTATCTAATGCAAAAACACTAGGTTTAAAATTTTTTTGAACAAAAATTATTTTTAGGGGTAGCTCAAGGCCCTCAAAAATTTGACGGGTCCCTAATATTTTGAAAAAAAAACTTTTTCTAAAGTATGTCAACCTGGTACTCAAAAGAAGCGATATTGTATAAAAACTTCAAAAATAATAATCATTTTACATAAAAAACATGCCTAAAAAAAATTATTCTCAAAAAACCTGAAAATATTGACTTTTTTTATTTTCAGCTTAAAAACAATAGTTTTTATGCATTTATACCTAAAAAAATTATTTTTATAAAAAATTATTATCATTTTTGAAGTTTTTATACAATATCGCTTCTTTTGAGTACCAGGTTGACATACTTTAGAAAAAGTTTTTTTTTCAAAATATTAGGGACCCGTCAAATTTTTGAGGGCCTTGAGCTACCCCTAAAAATAATTTTTGTTCAAAAAAATTTTAAACCTAGTGTTTTTGCATTAGATAAAACACATTTAGGGGGTGTCAGCAGGTTTTTCTCAAAAAAGTTGTTTTATGGACCACCCTAATATATATATATCAGATGTGATATATATCACTAATCGTAAACTTTAAACAAATATAATAAAAGTTGCTGATAGAATCTAAATTCTGTATTTTATAAAGATTATATTTCTTTATATTAAGTTATTTCTTAGAACAATCTAACTTTTCATAATCTTTTGTTTGTTTATCACAATTTATTTATTTATTTTAATTTTTACGTATTTAATGTAATATTTTTAATATAGATTATAAACAATTTATAAATAGATTTTATCAATAAGATATTTGTAATGTTCTTAAATGTATTATGTCAAAAGAGCTTTACACAATTTTAAATTAATTAGAAAAAAAATGTTTAAATACATTTGGGAAAAGAATTCTCTTAAACAAAAATACTTCTCCCTTTTTTATATAAAAAAAAGTTTTTAATTGTTTTTGCATATTATAGAGAGACTTGTTAGACTTGAATGAATTAGTTAATTAATAAAAAGAGCAAAACTATTTTACATTCCTTTGAAACTTAATTTTTCATTCACATTTCACTATTTTATATTTCTTCAAAATGAAATTTAAATTACTAAAATCATATTAAATTTAAATTTTTTTAAAAAATAATTTGTTTCTTTAAAAATTCACCATTGCGGTAAATGCTTTTTTATACTATCTAATACTTTTTCCAATAAATGTCACATAAATGATATTAAAAGATAATTTAAATAATCCAAAATAAAAAAATGAAAAACTTTCATACAAAATTTTCATTAATAGTTTTGTAAAATGCGTGCTATAAATAAAAAGCGTAATGCTTCTTAACAAGGCCTATCAAAGTTTTTTTTTTTGTTGACAAATTTAGTTTTATTTCTATATTATTAAATAAGATTTGTAAAAAAATATTGAAATAATATTTTTGTTTAGACGATTTATTTTTATTTATTTAGAAAGTATTAAATATATTAAATATATTTAAACTTTCATACAATTTTCTAATGTACTCTAATCAATAATAGAAAATATGGACTTTTTCATATATGAATTTTTAAAATATAATTTTATTTTATTTTATTATACTTTAATT